TCTGGAAAGTCCTGGCTCTCCCCACTCTGAGGTCCCCTTCTGGGTTCCTCTGCCCCCACCCTTACTTCGGGACCTGAATGAGCCTAGACCCACCAAGCGCTGAGGCCCGCATGGGCCGAGGGGCCTCGCTCCTCCCAGCACGTTCCTCCTGTTCAGGTTGTGCCCATGGCGGTGGCACCACGACAGCACGGCCCGGGCGGAGGGGGCAGGCTGGAGGCCCTGAGAGCAGAGCCAGGCTCCCGCCTCTCTGAAGTTCCTTCTGTCCAACCCCTGCCCAAGCTGGCAGGTCTCAGTCAGAAAACTGAACCTGAGCTCTGTCGTAGGCCGGCAGCTGGAGGTGGGTCATCTCAGTCCCCGCTTCTTTTCCCTCCGGCAAGCCAGCAGCTGAGACCGAATCCACACTTTCCCAAGGGTGCTGGGCCAAAACCCCAGGCTCATCTGGCTACACACAGGGCACCCCCCAGCCATGCCAAGGGATGAGCTCCCCCTGGATGAGCTCCATCCTCCATCCCAGGGTGGTCCGGGGCTCAGGTCACCGAGTGGAGGGAGGAGGCTGCCACTTCCAGAGCCAGCTTGCCCTCCAACCCCCAGTATGCCCTCCACAGGGAACCCATCTGGAAGAAACAGATCATCAATTTCTGGCCCCTTTCATGGTATATGCACTCGGGGAGCCAGGGACTTATCCGACAAGGACACCGTCAGCAATTGCAAGTCATGGCTTAGCTCCAGCATGGTGCGCCTTAACAGCCGTGGGGGGAAGGGGCAGGCTTGGATCAGGGCAGGAAAGGGCAGAGGCAGGCAGCCCTGATGCCCTGTGATCTGAGAGTCTGAACCAGCCACCTGGAGTTGCCCCCCCACTCCCCACTTGACAGCCCTGGGAGTTGGAGAGGTGCAGAGTACTGGCAAAGGCCTCAGGCCCTCTGTTCCCACACACTCCCCAGCCCTTCTTGGCTGACAAAGGCCCAGGACTGCAGGGTCCTCCCTCACCTTCTGACTGTCAAGACTCTCGTTGCCCCACTTTTTCTGGCTGTTTAAGTGTGTGGGGTTCACCCCTCTTCCTCTTCCACTGATCAGTAGTGGCACCTGCTTCCCGCTACACTGTCCTCTCAGTATTCTGCTGCCCCCTGAAAGCTGACAGTTGGTTAGTCTCTATCCTGGGCACAGCGGGACAGCTGCCCTCCAGATAGCCAAGCACAGCCATCCAGGCTGGTGTGGGGAGTGGGCAGATGGCCAAGACAGCCCCAGGCCTGTCCTATAGCCTCGCCTTTGGCAGTGTGATCGGAGCGCCTGCCAGGAGAGGTGGGTGCCTTCCCACCTGGGAATCTGGACTGGGTCTGGCCCTTGCTTTGTCCTGTAGAACATGGCAAAAGAGGCTGTGCATTCCAGGGCCCAGGAGGGTGAGATCACGGAACAGAGAGGAGCGAGCCTGCCCTGCATCCCCAAGTCATCCTGCCTCAGCTGACCCAATAGCTGATCATCGCTGCCTAAGCTCAGAAGAGGTCAGCCAAGCCCAGAGAGATCCGTGGGGCCTGCCATTAGCCTTCAAGAGAAATAAGCGAAGCCTCTAGGCCTCTCTCGTGCCACAGTCGGCAGGCTTCTGCAGAGACCCTTATTATATGGGTACTCCTTCTAAGACGTCACTTGAAATAAGATTCCTATTACCCAAGCCTGGTATATATGTCCTGCTACTAGCCAGCTGCTGCCCACCTCCCCGACCTTTCAAGGCCTGCCTCAAATACCACTTCCTCTTGGAAGTCCTCCTTGATGAATCTCCCATAACTTGTCTGGTCTCCATAACTTTAGGCAGGGATGATGGTTGTCCTGTCTGCTCCACTCAAATGCAAGCCCAGTGAGGGGCCGGACAGTAAGTACTAAGATAGAAGAAAGAACCCAGGACCAGAGCAAGACAGACACGGAGTGCCACCCGGGTCTGTTCACGCCAGGCAGTGTGGCCACGGGTGCGGCAGCCTAGCTGTAAAGATGCCGTTGGAGACTCTGCAGCGGCGTGACGCCCGGCCTGGCACAGAGTGGGTGCTAAATTAATCACTGTAGAAGGAGGGATGCAACTCGTGGTAGCTATTACTGGGAGTAAGGCCATGTGTCTGCTTAAGTGGCTGAGTCCACATTAAAATCTAGTTCACACGGCTCCCAGAATGGGAGGGTGGAGCCAGTGAGAACCCCCACATCCTGCTGCAACCAGCCCCTCTTAGCAGGGTGCCAGCACCTCAGCCCTCGCCAAGGAACTGTCATCACTCGGTGTCCTGCATGTGCTCCTGGGGGCAGCATGGCTGGGCATGATGCTGGCTCCAGACCAGGGCATCAAGCGGTCCCTTCCGCCTGGGGCAGGCCGGCGGGCATTGGCAGGGAGAGGAGCAGTTGGTCCCAGACAATGGGGGGGTCCTGCTGGGATGTGGGTGTGCTTTGTGGTCTGAGGCAGAATCACAAGGTCACCCCTCTTCCAGGTTAGGGAAGAGGGAAGGCAGTGGGCAGAGGGAGGGAGACAGAGGTCATGGGGTGGCCTTTCAAATAGGGCTGAGGCATAAACATTTCAGTGTTTATTGTTTCACTCCCTGCTCTAAACAGCACTGAAAAGAAGAGATGATCGTCTCCATTTACAGATGGGGAAATCAAATGCAGAGAACATCAGTGGGTTCACCCAGGGTGACATGTTAAGAACACCACCAGGGTTTGAATTCAGGCCAAAACTGTCTCTAAATCCTTCTAAAATATTGTCTTCAGTGACTAAAATCCCACCATTAGTGATCTCTTCCTTTGGTTGAAGGATGTCTCTGATCTCGGTTTCCGCACCTAATTAATCACGTGCAGGGCTCCCTCTCTCTGGCCCGCGCGATGTGCTGTGCGGAGTGCCTCGCACAAGTGGGTGCCCAATGAAGTCCACGAGACAAAAGAACGAGTGGGTGAGAACAGGGAGTGGGGGAGAGAGAATGCAGGGAGAATATGGTTCTGTCTGGAGACCCCAAGGACCTGGTCAGACCTTGTAGCCAGTAGAGGACAAGTCGGCATCAGTTGGTGTGAAGCTCGCCAACTCCCACCCCATTTGGTTTTTCTTACTGAAGGGCATCCATTCCCGTTTTCTCTGCCGGTGAACGCCTCTTCAACCTTTGAAGGCCCCTGACCCTCTCCGAGGTTCAAGACCCTCCCCCCACCCCTCAGCGCCCAGGTGTTACGATGCACACCTCGGGCATCTCCCAAGCACAACTGGGGCCTCACTGGGCTCCATGGTAATTGCTCAGCACAGGCCCCAGTAGAGAGAGATGGAGAGATAAAGAATCCAGGGGTAGGAGAGGAGGGACGAGCAGCCGTGCCCAGGGCCCCCCGGATTGCTCAGCTGGGCCTCTGGGCCTTCCTGTCCCCGTGGGCTGGTTCTTACCCGCATCGATGGCGCACGGGTAATGGTAGGTGTGGATGCATCCTTTGTGGCAGCACCCGATGGTGGCCCCGGCTTCTTGGCAGCTGGCACACGTCTGGCGAGGAGAGAGGACACCGGTGAGTTGGCCGCTGAGCCAGCCCGGGCCCGCCCCCTTCCTCCCCAGTGGGCCCGCAAACCAGGTGGGAGGAAGCTCAGTGTGGGCCGGGTGCCACCACGCTGGTTCTGTGGTGGCCCGATCTCCTCGGGGCTGGGAAATGACTGCCCAGGGGTGTGGGTCCGAATCCCAGCTCTGCCACTCTGCGTTGCGGGGCCTGAACCCAAGACTCGCACCCCCAGAACCCCCCGGGCACAACAGGGGCGGTGCCAGTGCCCCCTCACGAGCCTGTGGGGTGCTTACGTGAGAGTATCTGTGCGCCAGTGGCGGCCAGGCCTCACTGTGGCGGCGGCCAGTAGCTGGCATTCTTGAGGGCTCTCCATGGCACCCTGGGCACTGAATACAGCCTCAGCCATGGCTCCTCCCAACAGCCCCAGACTGGTACTTTCACGATCCCCGCTTTATAGGGAGAGGGCGATTCTCATTCCAGGCGAGGGCGAAGGCAGTAAGCTGTCTCCAGCTCCTCCTGGCAGCTGAGCACAAACGGTCCGCCCCAACGGGCCAGCCCCGCCCCAGGGTGGGGCGGCGGCACAGCCGGTCTGGAGACGCCAGTCTGTCAGTCCCCTGTCACCCAGCCCGCCAGGCCGGGGGCTGCCCCCTGCCTGGGCCAGCTGCGCACAGGGGGTCGGACGAGGCCAGGTTAGGACAGCAGTGCCGAAAAGGCCCTCGGAAGAGCAAGCAAAATCTGAAGCCCGAGGAGAGACAGGTCAGGCCTCATCACGCAGAGAAACCACAGGTGCAGGAGGGAGGAAGAGGAAGAGGGTGGCAGTCACGCCCACACGCTAAGCCACTGAGACACAGAACAATAGCTGGCACGTGCCAGGCATGCTGGGAAGCCACCTCCTCGTGAGAACCTACAACGCTGGTCTTACTGCCCTGGTCTTATCAGCCAGTTTACTAACGACAGCTCAGAGTCTGCAGAACCTGCCGAGGGCACACGGCTCAAGCTCACAGGGGCAGGGCACCAGCCGGGACAGACTGCTGGGGCCCCCCCGCCCAGCCCCCAGGCCCGAGGGAGACCCCACTCCCCGTAGCGGAGAGAGGCCAGGGACCAGTCTTCTCCCTTCCTTCCTGGGCCCCGCCTGGAAAATACCTAGGAATGAATGTTCCCTCCAGTGCAGTGTGGAGCTGGGAGTGGGGGTGGGGGGAGCAGAGCAGGGCTGGGGTACATTCTGGAGCAGCAGATTTTCACATAATGCCTCCAGGCTGCAGTTTCCTTCTGGTCGGCCTGCGGCTTCCTGGGGCTCTGGACCCAACGTCAGGTCCACAGGGGCCTGCAGGGACTTTTGTGGCTAAAGCGAGAAATAGTGGGCACAGCACAATGAGGCTCCCAACAGCCCCTGAAGCAGGTATTTTACATGTGGAGAAGTAGGCCCCCTAGCACCTGTGTGCTGAACCCCTGCAACTCCTATAGGGTCGCAGCTTGTGATTCCACCAAAGGACCCCAGGTTGGCAGAGGGCCCAAACCGGCACCCAGGCCGCCTCCTAATACAACTGTCACAGCTGCACTCTGCCCAGCGTCCTGTGCCAGGCCTTATCTGGATAGGAAACGGGCGTCCATGGTAGTTCTGAGGGAAGGGCAGGCTGAAACCACGGTCCCAGGAGGTGGGCACAGCACGACTCAGACACAGCTGTTGCGCAGGGCAAGGAGGAGTCATAAAAGGGATGGTACCCCTAGGGGCTGCACAGTTCTGTCCTTCCGGGGAGTGAAAGTGAGCATGGGGGTCTGGGCCAGGTACTCAACGGGGTGGCAGGCCCTCCACCACCCTGGGCAGTGCCAGACTTGCCCATCTTTCCGGAGTGCTCTGTGCCTCTGGCCTGCTCCTGCCCTCTGAGGCTGCCAGTCCCTGGCACCCCTAGGACCATCTGTCCAGCAGATGCCGCTTGGGGATCCTCAGGTGAGGAGGGGAGATGCAGTCAATGACCAGCCACACCTGTTGGGGGTGCCCTTCCCGAGGGATGCCCCCAGTGGCGGGAGGTTGCCTGCATGGTCGAGTGGGCAGAGACGGGCTGATCAAGTCGAGTTCCAGCACTTAACAGCATGTGAGCCCAAGAAATCAGGGCACCCCCTCTTCCACTGGTTTTCCTCAGTTCCACAGGTGAGACCCAGGCCCCGGAGACAGGGCAGGCAGGTGGGCTAGTCCAGGCTCACTGCTGCCTTCTCACCCAGGTCAGTGCAGAGTGCAGGGGACAGAAAGAGGCCAGTTCTGGTCCCCTCCCCACTGCAGCCAGGGTGGGGGGAGGCGGATATGTGTGTGGGGAGCCCTGAGCACACAGCAGAGGACGTTTCATGGGGATGTAGCGGCAGACGGAGGTAGCATCAGCTGAGGATCTAAGGATTCCTATTACTTTTTAATCACAGGAGAGAGCTGAAACTCTCTCAGGGCATCTGGGAAGGAGTCAGTGACAAGGGAGAGAAAAATAGAGCTAGCAAGACAAAATAATTGTGAAGGGAAGAAGGGGAAGTTCCAGGACTCCCGCGGAGGCTGGCTGCAGGCCGGCAGGGGCACTGGGCAGCCCCCGGGCTTCCTCAGTGAGGCTGGAGGCGGTGGGCTGGACACCTGGGCTGGGGCCAGGCCCTGGCAGTGGGGCCAGAGCACGGGGAGGCACCGCAGCTCCTGTCCACATCCACGGTGGCCCCCACAGCCATCATCCGCACAGGGCAGGTCGGAGTGGCTGAGAGGGGACCTCGGGAGCAGGTGAACTGGCAGCAAGGGCGAGACCCTGTTGTCCTCGCAGACGACGAATGGAGGGCCCGGCGTCGGTGGCAATGCCCGTGCCAGGGGAGAGCCCTTGGAGGAAGCCTGTGGACCTGAGTGCACAGGCGAGCAAGGGGCTCCTGGGGAAGAACTGAGCCCCTCTGGCCTGGTCCTGTCCCTGCTGCTGACCACCGCAGGTGCGTGGGGCTCACTCCCACCCTCCGCGCTGGCAGAAAGGGTCTAGGAGGAGCGCGAGTCCGGGAGCGAGCCCCGTGCTGGAGGACACGGCTCCCGCTGTCGCCTCGCCTCGTCCCAGCACAGGGCCAGCCGGGCGTGCTGGGGGGGGGGGGGGCAGGCTCCGCTCCCCGGCCTGTGGGGCGTGGCCTCACATCAGCCTCGGCCCTCAGCACTGGGGAACGAGGAAAGCTGGGGTCTGACCCCAGAGGCCAGCCAAGACCTCATTTCCAGACACTCGATGACTGCGGCTCCTCTCAAATATGTTAGGAAGGTTGTGAGCGCCCAGGGGTGCCTGCTGAGGGCCCTGGGTGCTGGCGGCCATCCTGGGGGGGGGGTGGTAAGGGGGACACGTTGCAACCAGGTGTTTAAGAGGCTCTTCCACCGAGCCCCAGCTCCAGCCCAGGCAAAACAGGCTGGTTGCTGTGGGGTGGTGAGGCTGTCATCTGCCTTCAGACTGCCAGCTCTAGGGGCCCCATCGTCCTCTGGGGTCTTGGCATCTGGGCAGATTTCATAAGAGAGGACGGGGGGGGGGGTCACTGGAGAGCTGGATCTAGAAGGTGCCAGGTGAGTGTGTGGTGAGCAAGGGTGTCTTAGCTCATCCTGGGTGTGCCTCCACCTCTACCCCCAACCCCTAGACAAGCGTTTGCGATTGTGGATGTTTGGTCCCAACTGTTGCAATGGAGGGGTGAGGGGGGCTCCCCCACAGCCAGCCTGCCTGCCTGTCCTGTGGAATCTGAGCTCCCCACCCCAGCTGGACTGACTTCTTACCATGTCCATGGCCACTTTCATGGCCTCCTGCAGCCCAAAGAGCTTCCCGGCCACCAGGTAGACCCCGCCTGTCCACACGGCACAGGCCTCATGCACCCAGTGTTCCTGGGTGTCCCCGCTAGGCTCCACCGGTGCCTCCTTGCTGCATTCATGCTTGCGGCTTTTGTCAGCTGGGGCCACCTCCTCACCACCGTCCCCCCGACCATCACAGCAGTAGCAACTCTGCAGCCTCCGGGAGAGGCCCCGGGCACTGGTGCGCAGCGAGCCCTGCTTGGCGGGGTCGGCCGGGCCATCGGGCCTGGGAGGCTTCCCAGGGGCAGCCGCCGGGCACTCGAGACCTCTGAGTGTTCTTTCGGGGGGCAGGGAGGCCTCCTCACAGGTGCCCTCTGGCCGCACCTTCTCCTTGAGTTTTGGCTTCTTTTTGGGGAGGCAGTGTTCAGGATAGTAGGGCCCACAGAGGTCCCCAAGGTCCTTGAAGTTGGCCGGGTTTTGGCAGAGGCAGCAAACAAGGCAAGAGGTACTCAGGGCCTTGGAAACCACGGGCCCCAGATGCATGGTGGACGAGAGGGGCAGGGAGGGCCGTGGCTGCAGGACGGAGCCTCCGGGAAGCGTGGCCAGGGAGGCCCCAGCCGCATCCAGAGAGAAGGAAGAGGAGGAGGAGGAGGAGGAAGTGGAGGAGGAAGGCTTCCTGTGGGGCTTGGGCTCCTCCCCAGGGGAGTTGACAACAGTGCATACGGTGGTGAACGCATCTCGCTTTTCCACCCGCACAAAGGGTGAGAAGGCAGGGGTGCGGCTGTCGGCCCGCAGCCGCTTGCATGAGGAAATGTACTTGAGGCGGATTTCAGGCTCTGCGGGATCTAGGGGCAGCACCTGCTGTTGCCTCCGCCGCTTGGCACGCCCTTTACAGGGTGAGGAGGCGGCGTTCTTCGCCCGGCCCCGGGTGAGGCGCTTCCGCTTGGAGTAGCTGCTGTAGTTGGCGTGACCCTGTTGCTTCTGTGCCCTTGTCTGGGGCTGGCAGGGCTGACCCTCGGGGGGCTGGGAGGTCAGACCCAGTTCCTCCGTCTTTGGCTTCTTGCTGCCTCCACTGGGACTCTCCTCACCGACCCCCTGTGTGCCCGCAGCCCTGTCTCGGGGAGTCAGGAGCAGAGCTGAGCCTAGATGGGGCCGCTTCTCCAGGGGGCCTTTCGGGAGCCCGAGGGCTCCGGCCCTGCCTTTCCGGCTCCTCTTCTTAGGTGCCAGGGCCGTACCCCCAGGGGACAGGGCCTCAGGGGATGTGAAGGCCTCAGTTTTGAAACAGTCAGTGGAGGTCAGTTTCTTACTGTTCATGAGCTTGCCTTTTAAGGATCTGTTGGTTGGATTTCTGCACAACGGGTCGACCCCCGGAGCTGCTGGGAGCTTCTGCCCAGCACCCATGTTTAAGAGACCTTCTTCCGCTCCCATGGGGCTGCCCCCAGCACTCTTGAGCCCACGGTCCTTCTCAGGGAGGGATGGGCTCAGAGGATTACCTGGCGGGGCCCCTGGCACTTTGCAGGCAAACTTCTTCAGGCTGGGTGAGGTGATCTTCTGCACGATGGCCTCCAGCTTCAGGCCCCGGCCCTTCCGGGGCGGCAGCACCTTGGTCTTCATGGCGCCCTGGAAGGCGGCGCGTGAGGCCAGCTTGAGGCAGGCGTCGGGCGTCTCCGAGGGCAGCGCCTTGGCGGCAGGCTCACCGCTGCCCTTGGCAGGCTTGGCCTTCTTGGGGGAAGCCAGTCTCTTGAAGAGGGTGGGGGAGTCCTCGGCCCTCTCCTCCTTCACGTCCCCGATGCTGCCGCTGCCGCCCGTGACGCTGCTGCTCCGTAAGACCAGGTTCTGCTTCTTGGTGGGGACGGGCGCCATGAAGGCCGACTTCCTCTTGAGCGCGTGGAGGGGCCGGTCGGAGAGCTTGCCGCCCGCGCCGGGCTTGGGGACCTTCACCCGCTGGCTGGCCCTCCCCTCCTTCTGGGGGCTGCCAGAGACCTTGAAGGCGGCGGGCAGGTGGTTGTTGGCGAGGAGCTTCTTGGTGGTGCGGCAGTTGGGGAGCCGGCTCTCCGAGGGTCGCCTCCGCTTGGCGTGGAAGACCTCCTGGGTTTTGGTGCGGGAGCGAAGGATCATGGAGCGCTGGTCTTTCCCAGGGGTGCCCGGCGAGTCTGTCTCCTTGGTCTTGGAGCCCATGGGGCTGCTGTCGGAGGCCACAGGCAAGGCGGCTGGGTTACTGGGGCTGGACGCAGCCTTGGGTGAGGGCTTCCCTACCCGCTTGCCCGACTTGAAGGCGGCTCGCTGTTTGCCCCCCAGTTTATCTGGGGGGGCGGGGGTGGTGGTCAAGCCTGGGGGACCTGGCGTGCGGGGCTCGCTCAGGGCAGTGAAGGAGCGGGTGCACATCCTGGGAAGCCCTTCCGAGGCCCCCCGGCCCGGGGCCCCCGCCCCCTCCATTTGTCCCTGGGGAGGCCCTGTGCAGGATTCGGGGAGCAGGAGGTCTTTGGGCAGCGCCGGTGCCCTGCACGGGGAGTCCTCTGCCTCGGGCAGCCCCCGGTGCACCCGCCGGCTACGTAAACTTTTGCCACGCGGCACCGGTTCTTTCTTAGCAATGGGCGCCTCGGGCACAGCGGGCTTGTTCGGCTTCTGGGCCAGGGAGGCGTCAGGGGCCAGGGTGGCAGGATCCCCCGGAGCCAGGGTCCCCTCGGGCCCTTCTTCCCCTGGCTTCATGTGGGAGAGGGAGGATTCAAACCAGCTCTGGACCTTCGACTCAGCACCCACGGTGGGGCCCAGCAAGATGACAGACTCCCCGGAGAGGTGGCATGGGGAGCCCCAGCCAGCCTTGGGGTCCAGCACCTCCCCCACCTCCTCCTTGGTGCACATCAGCGGGGCCTTTGGTGACAGTGGGTCCTGCATGCTGGGCCTCTGCTCGGGGCTGCCCAGGAGCTCACACAGGGAGGAGTATTCCTCCTCCGCCTCCAGGTCCTCCTTCCTGCCCGTGGGCGGCAGCAGCGGGAGGTCCCCAAAGTCTGCAGAGCAGCAGTGCCGGCTGTCCTCCAGCCACCGGTCGGCCTTGCCCACCTCAGGGCACTGCAGCAGCCCGCCCGCCTCCTCCTTCACCCCGCCCGCCGCCTCCTGCTTGAAGTCCCGGGGCACAGCAGCCTTCTCCCCTGGGGGCTCCTCCTCCTGGAAGCCCAGGCAGGCTGAAGCTTCCTGGGCCGTCTCCTTACCGACACCATCCGAGGCCTGCCCGCCTGACTCCAGGCCCTTGGTGAGCTCGCCGGGGTGCAGCCCCCACCGGGGACAAGCATCCCCCAGGTTTTCCTCTGGCCAGGCAAAAGGGTTGGCACTGTCTGCTGAGCTGGCGGTGGTCGTGTCCGGGAAGCAGTCGAAAGCTGCTGCGGCAGGATCTGAGGCCGCGGCCCCCAGGGGGGACTTGGTGCCAAAGGAGAGGGGACCAGCAGGCTTCTTGGGGTCGGGGGCGGCAAAGCCCACGGAAGGGTCTTCAAACAGCCCTGGGCTGAAGTCCTTGGCACTGCCGCCTTTGTCCAGCTGCAGGGACTCAGGCAGGGCCTCCGGCTCCCCGGGTCGGGGCCATGTGCTCTTGGCCACGGGGTCCAGGCAGGCGCTGTGGTTCTCCAGGGAGAAGGGGGGCTTGCTGGGGTCCTTGGCCAGGCCGGGCGCCTCCGCCCAGGCCTTGTCGGCCTTCTCGCCAATGGCCTCTTGCAGCCCCAGGATCTCGGAGGCCAGGTCCTCCTGTGCCAGGGCACTGAGCAGCAGCCTGGGGCAGTCCCGCTCTCCCGCCACAAACTTAGAGAAGCTGTCGAGAGGCAGGGTGCCGTGCAGGCTCTGGAAGGAGTCGTCGGACTTGGTGGACATGTCATCGGGGGAGGTCACAGAGCAGGTGGACACCGACTCGGGCTTGGCCTTGGAGTTGCTGTTGACTCTGGCGGGGCTGCCGCGGGCCTGGTTGCAGTAGAGGAAGCTGCGCTCCAGCGGGTCCTCGGAGCCGCTCAGGTAGTCGGCCTCGGGGGGCTCGGCGTGCGTGGACTGCGGCGTGCTGCTCAGCGGCTCCGACAGCGGGGTGCCCGCGGGCTCGGCCGAGTAGCCGCTGCCCTCGGGGCTGCAGTGCTGGCTCTTGTGCTGCTCCGGGGTCCTGGACACCAGGTTCTTGACGCCCTTCTTCTGGGGCACCGCGGCCTTGGAGAGCAGCAGCTGCTGGACGGTGTTGGAGATGTTCTCCACCTGCGACGTCAGGGCCGTGAGGCTCTGCAGGCTGAGGTCCGACAGCAGGTTCTCGGGGAGCTTGTCCTTCTGCAGGGGCTTGCAGTTGCCGGCCTGGGTGTCCACGGAGCTGGTGGCGTCCGTCGGGGAGGGGTTGAGCAGGGGCATGAAGTGGCTGTGGTCTGCGATGCCGGCAGCGGCAGGGAAGGTCCCCGTGCTGAGCGGCTGCTGGTTGTAGGGGAAGTTCTCCAGGTTTGGCATCAGCGGCGATGGAGTGGAGCTGTAGGAGGGCGAGCGGCCCACGGAGCGCGCGGGCGAGTGACTGGAGCTGGGGCTGAAGGTCTGGTAGTACTGTTCCGGAGTCCTGACGGCCGCGTCTGGCTGGCAGTAGCCGGGGCCCTGCTGTCCATAGTGTTGGTACTTGGTGAGGTTTTGGTAATGGAGGGTTTCCTGGGCGTGGTGCCGGCTCTGAAGGGCTTGTTGCTGCTGTTGCTGCTGCTGCTGCTGCTGCTGCTGCTGCTGCTGTTGCTGCTGCTGCTGCTGCTGTTGCTGCTGCTGCTGCTGCTGCTGTTGCTGCTGCTGCTGCTGCTGCTTGTCATAGCCGAGGCGGCCAGACTGATAGGCGTGAAGGTTCTGGACCCGCTGCCCCGGGGCCAGGCTAGCATTGGCGGTCAGTGGCCTGTCATGGGGCTGGGCAGGTGGTGCTGTGCAACTCTTATAGGAGTGGGCTCCCTGCCCGCCACCCTGGCCTGTGGAGGAGTAGCTGGAGGAGGTGGGGAAAGACTGGGAATGCTGGGGAAAGTGGCTGCCCTGGGGGAAGGGCAGAGGAGAGGCCATGTCGTTCTGCAGTTTCTGCCTTTGGAGCTTGGGGTATGCCAGGGGTTGCTGGGGCTGTGGCAGCTGTTGCTGGACATGCAGGGAGTGAGTCCGAAAGGGCAGCTGGGCGCCCTGCTCTGGATACTGCCTGCCAGGGGGCACTGCTGTCTTTTTCATCAAGTTCTCATCGTATTTGCCCACCCCTCCTGGCAGGGGCTGGGGCTGGGGCGGTGGGGGCTGCGGGGCCCCCCAGGCCTGCAGGCTCTCCTCGCCCGCGTAGCGGCCCGGGTAGGGGCTGCTGTCCTGGACACTGTAGCCAGGGAAGGCTGGCCTCCCCTGCAGGCCCTGCTGTGAGGGTAGGACTTTGCTGCCCCGCGCAGCGCTGGCGGGCGTGCCAGCACCGCCCTCGTACCCGGGGTACGGCTGCGGGTTATAATAATCCTTGGCCAGCAGCCGCTGCCGGTCACAGCTCAGCCCAGCCTGGCTTGGTTGCCTGTAATTCTCCAGGCGAGATGTCTCCTGTGAGGTCTGCTGGTAGTTCTGTTGTTTGCCATGGAAACCACACCTTTCTCGAAAAGACTGCATGACTCGGGTTGGTTATCTGTGAAAAGAGAAAGGGAGAGAGGGAGGGCCAGGGAGGGTGGGGGAGGGCGGGGGAGGGGGCAGAGAGAATCATTCAGATGGGCCATTTCCTTTGCCTCCCAAAGCTTGCCTCCCACCGGTCTCCCCACAGCTCTTAACAGACCCCTGGCCTCCCAGAGCCTCCCCACCAGCTGTGCACATATTGACAACTTCTGTGTCAGGGAGGTGTGCTCTGTAATTCCCGCTCGACGTTGCCCACAGCTGAGCCTGGCCAAGGACGCCATGGGCGCGGGAGGGGCAAACCCAGCTGTCCAAGGCCGTGTCACCAGAGCGGCCACCCCACCCTCCTTGCGGCCCCTCCCCCTCCAGTCCCCACCACTCGCGGCCCCTCCCTGACAGCTCAAAATCATTTAGCAGAGTGATTCCCGCTCTCTTGTCCCCTGGGGCTGCTGGATCCTGTAATCTGGTCCCAGCCTGGCAGTGTTCAAGCGTGACCCAGCCAGGCCGGCCCCGGGCAGCTCTGCCACTGCCCTGGAGCAGCGCTCACGCACTCACGCACACACACCTCCTCCATCACTGCCATGCCATCTGGAATCTGTCTGCTCCTTCTAGCAGACATCGATCAGGGGCCGCCAAGCCACTGTGGGCATAATATGTCCCCTCCTCTGACTCCCAGGAACACAGGACAGACACCTGCTTCCTGTTCTCGATATCAATAGGTGCACAGATAACAGGGCCTAGGGCTCGGCAGAGACATAGTCTGTCCACCACTCCTTGGGGCCAGGGCAGGGCCAGGGCAAGCCAAACCTAGAGCCCTTCTGGTTCTGATTTTGATTTTAGGGGTTGGATCCTGGGAGGAGGCTGTAGGGTCTAACCTGCCCCAAAGCAAGACCTGGGTCAGGAAATGACCCCCAAGCAGGGCCCCCCCCCAAGACAGAACAACTGGATTCAATGCCCAGCTAAATGTTTCCCAACTAACTGGCCAGTGTGAACCCTCAGAAGACCCTCAAATGACATGGAGAAGCAAGAAATGTTCCAGGCTCAAAAGGAATCAAGCAGAGGGGCTGACAGCTCTCAGTCCCAGGAGGCTTGGAAAGAACACAGCTCAGCCAGGCCTGCAGGCCAGGCCCCTAGGAGGGAATGGGGCGGGGAGGGGGTGGAGGCAGGAGGGGGGTGTTAAGGGACTTTCCAGTTTCTGTTCCCAAAACCAGGCTACAATAATTTCTGGGTTATAGCAGGGACCAAAAAGGAATAAAGAAACAGAAGACAGACACACAGATGTGAGAAAGGAAACAGAGCAGTATGGTGGGGGGGGGGGGCTTCCCCCAGCTCACCCCTCTTCTTCCTGGTACTGCCATAGATGCCTTCCTCATCCAGTATTGGGGCTGACCATGGGCAGAGGAGAGGCTCCGCTCACCTGGGCAGGGCAAGCCCAGCATAGCCGGACAGTCCCCAGGAGCCCTGTTGGCAGAGCAGGCCAGCTCCCTGCCCTTGTAGCAGAGGGAGCCAGCGTCCCCCAGGGCAAATGCCTGCCCAGCGGACTTGTCAAAGCAGCCAGCTCCAGTGCTGACTAGGGCCTACAGCTCCCCACCCCCTCCACCCCCACTATCAGGCATCCCTAACCAGGAGACACGTGCCCGCCCTTCTGACCCACTTCAATCCCATCCCTGGTGGCTTGGATCAAACATTACAGGAGGTGCCTGCTGCCATAAGCCAACCCCAGGCACTGATGGCGGCGTGGGGTTCCAGTCTGGCTGCTCCCCACTAGAGGACAGCCCTGTGCTCCTGACCTGATCTCTTCCGGGAGGGCATGGGCCAGACTGCGACAGGGCGCCCCGGTGGGTGGCCCCTTCTGTTCCCTGGTTGGGCACACACAGGCCCCACTGCTCGGGCCCTTTGCTCAGGGAGTCCTGCGCTGGCTGGTAGTGTCAGCAGAGACCAGGCCCAAGGCAGAAGACACTTGCCTGCACTCCCCGCCTTCCAGGCGTGTTTATGAGCCCAGAATGCACAAACCCAGGCCCACTCAGAAGGCTGCGCCTCATATATCTGCACAAATTACATTTCGGCTTTTATTAGTCCCAGATCGCTCTCATTTCCTGCTGAGTGTCCTGTGGATATCATTAACATTTCTACAGCTTTTAAATTTTTTTTATTTTTTTCACATTCTCCAAAATGCATTACCAGAAACATTATTTAAAAAGAGAGAGTGCTATGACCAGCGTCCCCCCACCCTGTTTAATCAGTCCAGCTGCTGCGTCTTTTAATTTAGCCGAGCTGTATTACAGGCGGGTTTTCCAATACACACGAGCAGCTGGATGCAGTGAAAGCATCTATCTCTAAGAAAAGACAGTTCAATTAAAATACGAGAAGCCCAGTGCCTGATGGAGAATGCAGGCAAAAATGGTCACCCCAACACCACCCTGAAAGCCCAGCAGGGGGGGGGGAATGCAGGAACAAAGGCTGCCCCTCACAGCCAAGGAGGCCCACCAGCTCTGCAGGAGAAAAATGGGGTGCTGCCTCTTTAAGAGCTGCCTCAAGCTTCCAAGGGCTGTGTTGTTATTAATTATGATGATTATTACTTTTCAATAGCACTAGCAAGGACACAGAGGAGAGGTGGGCAGCGGCCAGAGAGGAGGGGCAGAAAGCGGCCTGCTGGTAGAGAGTGACCTTTGAACCTGGGGAGGGAAGGAGGAGGGGGAAGGGAGAAAGAAGACTGAGGGCCTGGCCTCTGTGGATTCAGCTGGAGGCATCAGGGAGGGACCCCCAATGCATTCTCACAGGGCTCCCCTATCCCTGCTTCCCACCTGTTTCTTCTCCCAGGCACAGGTCAGGGCCTAAGGCTAAAGTACTTGTCAAACAGGGGAGGAGGAAAGGAAGGAAAAGGAGGGAGGAAGGTGGAGGCAGTCAGTCCTCCAGGTATAGGTAGGTCAGCTGCTCCCTTGGGACACCCCAGAAGCAGGGGGGTCCTGTCCTGTCGCAGGCCCCTGGGAGGAGGGGCAGGTCAGGCTTAGTGGTGCTCAGGGCCCCAGCACAGAGCTGTTTCACAGCTCCTTCCCTTGCACTAAGCTTCTCTTCAGTCCCCCCAATCTAGTCATGAACAGGGGCACAGCAGAGGGCAGGGTAAGACCCCAGGCCCTCACATGCAAGACCTTTGATTTCGGGGCGTACCCAATCTCAGCCCTTTTACTCAGGTAAGGACCCCAGTCCTATCTGCCCAGCAAAGGCACTGAGGGGCCAAAGGGGTCCCGGGGTGCCCCCTGGTGGGCTGCTAGTTGCCGACTCTGTGCAGGTTTTCTCATGGGAGGCTCTGATTTATTCTGCCCATTTATATAAAAGGTGGGTTCAGAGAGCCAGATACCAGGGCAGAAGCCACTCACAGTGAAGTTCCTTAGCTGCATGCTACAGCAGTGCAGTGACCAGACCGTGTGGACATCCTTCACCTGGACCTCACACCAAGAGCTGCCATTTCAGAGTGTGTCAACAAGAAGGTGCTTTGAGGAGAGGCGGGGGTGCAGGCAGCTCACACTTCTCAGGTCCCCACTGCCACCTGTGCGACTCTGAGGCAGGTCAAGGGACCAGGCCTACCTAGTCCCTCCAGTGGGTAATGGTGGATGATGGTCACTGACCTGGCCACCTGCTGTCAACATGGTAACTACTGTCCCCTGGGCAACCTCAGAGAGAGGTCACTGGGCCCATAGCCTCTGCGGCCACCAGGGTCAGGGCAATGTGCTGCCATGCTCATGGTGGGAGGAGATGGATGCCAGCTGGAGGTGACACCTGGAAGTTTCTGAGAGAGAGGTCGCTGATGGAAGAAAGGAAAGGGAAGAGATGGAAAGGGAGAGACAGAGGCAGAGATGGGAGAGAGAGGAGAGGGTGTGTGTGTGTGTGTGTGTGTGTGAATGAGAGAGAGAGATACCCCTGTGAGAGAAAGATACACGCACACCTGCCAGCCGGTGAGAAGGACACAGGAATTCCAAGGCCACAGTTTCCATCCTACCTACTTACCCAAGGTTGTTTTATGACCCGATTTCTTGATTTGGAGCTGCAGGGGAAAAAATGTAAAAACCCAACCCATCCAAGGCTTGGAAACAAGGAAGAAGGGGAGCATTTCCTGCATCAGGAAGCTGGGGATGAGGGGGGTCAGAGATTGTATGTCCAGGGAGCAGTGGAGTGGGACCATCTTCAGGTCTCTCCATCTGTTGTGAGTGATAAATAATAAATATGAAACTTGATTAAAATGATACATCATTAGTCAGATTTCCTGCTGTCCTGTCTATTTAAGTCCTAAGGGCCTGGCTTGAATGCAGAGAAGGAATGAATTTCCAAGGAGTCCACAAGACAAGACAGCCTGGGACCCACAGGCCGGGGGTCAGATGGGGTCCTTGGGCCAGAGGCTGGTGGTGGACAGGCCAAGTCAGCTGGAGGCCTGCTTGGGGCAGAAAGGGGCACACTCTGGGGTATAAAGAATTGCAGACAACAGAGCAGCCCCCAACCTAGTGCATGGTTTCTAGACACCCCCCCGCCCCCCGCGAGTCATATCCCCAGCACCCATCCTCATTCAAGGGCACCCAGGCATGTTCCCTTCTATGTAGGCAGGCTGGATGGGAGGGTCTGGGGACTGGAGGGCCTTAATACTAAGAGGTACGCAATAGGGCCAGACGGTCAAGGAGGAGGAAGCCCACCTAGCACCCACTCCGGATGGCCAACTTCCACCCTGAGACCAGGGGCCCTAGGTAGGCAGGCTCTCGGGGCTCTCTGGAGGGTATCCCGAAGGGAGCAGAGGCTTTAGGCCTCTCCAGAATTTTGGAAGTCCGCCAACCCCACCTCTTCCAAAGACTCCTCGCTGTGGGGCAGCCAGGACCTGCTAAGTCAGGGTCCCTGTGTGTGGCGCTGTGCCAGAGAGCTTCAGTCCCCTGCACAACTGGGAGACAGCGCTGCGGCTCGGGGATCTCAACCGGCTTCGTGAGCTGCTTCTCCCCACATGCTGCTCCACTGGCCCATGCAGTTTCTGGAATGAGC